TCCCTTTCCAATAAACCTTACCCTTGGATCTACAAAAGGACTCTCCTGTGCTCTTTACTCTCCTTCAGACTGGTGCCGCCACAGCAAGAGCTTGGAGCTCTACTTCTATCCCGAGTTTCCTGGATCTTGGGAAGAGGCCACTCTTGGCACAGGTTCACCCCAGAGCTAGCGGGGCTGCCCTAGTCTGAGTGGGCAAATGGTGAACCGTGTCAGCTGGCACCCAACATGGGGCCACTCCAGCCATGACCTCACCTCGCCTCGAGTGATCTGCAGATCGGAGGTGTTGGGCATCGGCTACCCCTGGTCAAAGCAAGCCAATTTGGCAGTGCTCCTGGGGGAGAAGGCGACAACCCTCACCACCCAGGACGATTGTGCCACTGACGCAGATAACAACACAATAACCATGGAGCATCTGTGCGGCGAAGGCGATTGGTCGCAGGTGGAGATACAGGCTGAAAAATTCCTAAATTTGTCATTTTAAAAGTCCAAGCCGTTGCCGAGAAGGCATTCATGATGATCCCTGGGAAAGAACCTAGAGTGAATTACACGACCGTCAGACAAGGCCCGGCGGAGCCAACAGTGGATTTTGTTGGAAGACTGAGGGTGCAGGTTGAGGAACAGGAGGCAAGCAAAGAGTCTCAACATGAGATAGTTAGGGAGATGGTGAAAATCAATGCGAATGACACCTTTAAACATGTCGTATCTTCCCTACCTCTCAATCTTGAGCCCACCTTCAGTATGATTATAGAAGCTTGTGCGAAGCGGGCTGTGGTTTCAGCACAACCATCCGCACCTGGGAGAGGACCGCCCCGCATCGCCATGACCACTGCTCCGCCACAACATCAGCCAGTGTCTGTGTGGTGTTTCCTATATAATAATATAGGACATGTGGCACCCATATGTCCCAAAAGGCAGAAATACAGGGAAGGGCAACAACAGCGAGGAGCTAGTAACATCAACTCTACAAAAAAAAACTAGGGGGGGGAGCACGGGCCTGCCTCGCATACAGATGAAAATGAGGCAGGCCACCAGGGGGACTCAGGAGGGGGCAATGAAAATGACATCTCCAATACAAACACAGACATTTACTACCAGACGAGACGTATAGCGCCTGGGTGGGACCCTCGTCCCCACCGGGCTTGGCTTTGACTGAAAACGTGCTCTTTGACACCCAGGATTGGTGGGGTATGCCAGTTGGACCTCTGTCTCCGGGTTTGTTCGCAGGACTTGACTGCACATATGTTGTGCTTGGGGATACAAAACATACTCCCCCCGGAGATTGACATAGTGCCATAGACTCAACTTGTGTGTCCGGACGGTTTCTTTCTCCCGGCACATTGCATCCAACCACCATACTTCTTGCCTAAGGGACAACTGACAGCGCCGGTGATCCCAGTGCCAAATATCATGGCGAAGCTGGAAGATCCCTGTGTCTATTGGGCAGAAGTCATTGGTGAGAATAAACCTATAATAGGATGCGGACTCTGTCAAGGTGAAGATTACTTCTACCTTGATGGACTCTTTGATACTGGGGAGGATGTGATGATCATCCCTACCAACAGATGGCCATCACACCGGGAACTGCAACCCGCGACAGGTAAGATACAAGGAGTTGGGGGGGCCAAATTGGCTCAACAGTCAAAAAGCATCATTAAGGTTGAAGGGCCTGATGGCCACGTGGCAAATATCCGCCTATTTGTTATGGATTACAATGGGCCCTTGTGGGGTAGGGACGTCATGTCTCAATGGGGAGTTAGGATCGAAATCCCAAAGTCCCCGCGGGACTTTTCCTAGCAGCCACTGTGGAGCGCCCTGTCCAGAAACTGAACTGGCTTACTGACAAACCAGTTTGGATAGATCAGTGGCCGCTTAACAAACAGAAATTGAAGGTGCTCAACGAGCGTGTGGAGGAGCAGTTGGGAAAGGGTAACATCATGCCAACAACTAGCCCCTGGAATTCTCCGCTATTTGTCATCAAGAAGCCAGGGAAGGACAGTTGGCAGCTCCTTCACGACCTCCGTGAAATCAATAAGAAAACTGAAGACACAGGGTCCCTACAACCAAGCATGCCATCACCCTCGATGCTTCCACAAAATTGGGATCTGGCCGTTTTTGATATAAAAGACTGCTTTTTCCAAATTCCCCTCGACGCCAAAGATGCGCCACAATTTGCCTTCTCGTTCCCATCACCAACCAAGAAGCCCCAGTGAGGCGCTTCCATTGGCAGGTACTGCCTCAGGGCATGAAGAACAGCTCCAGTATCTGCCAATGGTACGTGGCCTCACTGCTGTCCCTGGTGTGTGCCAAAGCAGGGGAGGCCATCATCCTCCATTACATGGGTGACGTGCTGATTTGTGCCCCCACGGATGACAAGCTGCAGCATGTCCTTGACCTAGTTATAGATGTTTTGATTTCTGCAGGATTCGAATTCCAGAAGGACAAGGTTCAACGGATGCCCCTGTGGAAGTATACTGGGCTCCAGATCACCAATAGGACCACTGTCCCACAGAAATTGGCTATTAACAACTGACCAAAAACCTTGGCGGATCTCCACCAGCTGTGTGGATCTTTGAATTGGGTCAGGCCCTGGCTGGGCTTAACAACTGAAGACCTAGCCCCCCTTTTCAATTTTTTGAAAAGGGGAGAAGAGATATGTTCTCCTAGGGCACTGACCCCAGAGGCTAGGGCTGCATTAGAAAAGGTGGAAAGAGTGATGGGCTCTAGACAGGCCCATCAATACCTGCTGAACCTGCCGTTAAACTATATTATCCTTGGAAAGTTGCCACACCTCCATGGCCTCATCTTTCAGTGGGACCAGGACCAGAGGGACCCCCTCTTAATTACAGAGTGGGTGTTCCTCAGTCACCAGCAGTCCAAAAGTATCACCAGGCCACAGGAGCTGATGGCTCAGCTGATCAGGAAGGCCAGGGCCCGCATGCGAGAACTGGCGGGCTGTGACTTCGCGTGCATCCACGTACCTCTTACCTTGACATCGAGTAAGTTGACTAATGAGGTTCTGGAGCATTTGCTCAAGGAAAATGAGGTCCTCCAGTTTGCTTTGGACAGCTACACCGGACAAATATCAGTACATCATCAAAGCCACAAATTACTTAACTCAAATTTCAATTTGATTCCTAAAGAAAAATTGAGCCGGACACAGCTTAAGGCCTTCACAGTTTTTACAGACGCGTCCGGGGCTTTTCACAAGTCAGTAATGACTTGGAAGAACCCCCCAACTCAGCAGTGGGAGGCGGAGGTTAGGGTTGTTGAGGGTTCTCCTCAAATTGCTGAGTTGGACACAGTTGTTAGGGCCTTTGAGAGGTTCTCTGAGTGGTTTAATTTGGTAATGGATTTGGTCTACATGGCATTGTGTGGTGTCTAGAGTGGAGAACTTGGTTTTAAAGGTCTCTAATCAGAAGAACCTTTACCGGCTGCTCTCAAAACTTACATATGCCGTCTCCCACTGAGAGCATCCATACTACGTCATGCACGTGAGGTCACATACAGACCTGCCAGGTTTTATTGCTGAGGGTAATCAAAGAGCAGACACCCAAGCTGAGCCAGCCAAAAGGGCTAGGTTACCTGATGTATACCAGCAAGCCAAGCTGAGTCATTAGCGTTTCCACCAAAATGCGCCTGGTCTGGTCTGGCAGTTCCAGCTTAGCCGTGACCAGGCCCAAGATACAGTG